TAATTGTCTTTTTTCATTAAGATCTGTCAAAGGAAGTGAATTCATTTTTGAAAGTTTGAGGCTCTCTTTCAACCATATACATGCATAAATCATCTCCAAATGATTTCTCACTTGTCCCCTTTTACTCCATCATGATCTATTTATTACTCCATTTTATTCTTCATGAGAGGATTCTTTATGCCCAATTGTTTTGGAGCACTTGTCTTTTATTTATCAAGACATGGAAACACATTTTCAAAGTATCATTTGTTGATTCTATTATTGTGCCTTTATTTTAGAGTCGTGTACAAGAAAACAATCAACACTATTGTTTTGTGCATAACTAAAAAAGATGCAACCAACATTCTAGTGTCCAATCCTTACAACCTTGGGGTTAGGTATAACAACCTTTGCAAGACGCCCCCACATTTAATTGTATTTGTAAGATGATTTTATACCCGACCATAAGTTAGATGGTATTTTTTTTTCTCGTTTTCTTTTGGGGTACCTTATTTAAAAGGTAATTAGTTGACACCACAACTTCCCCCCACATTGAGTGTGGCAACCCAAAACATAAGCAACAACATGGCATTCATCATTTCATTTAAGATATGATGTTTCCTTTCGGTGATGCCATTTGTTATGGTGAATAAGGTGCCTTACGCTCATGTTTAATACCATAACTTGCAAAAAATTGCTCAAATGGTGATGCATATTCACCTCCACAATCACTCTTTTTATTGAGATGATTCTCAACCTCACTTTTGTACAATTTAAACTTATATATAGCCTCATCTTTACTTTTAAGTAAATCAACATAACAAAGTTTAATGCAATCGTCAATAAAAGTGATAAAGTACTTATATCCGTTATATGGATTCGACTTCATATCACACACATTTGTGTGAATTAATCCAAGGGGTTTAGTTGTCCTTTCAACGAACTTGAATGATTGGTGTGTTAACTTTGACTCAACACAAATGTTGCATCCATATTTTGACTCATATGAAAGTGAGGTATATGTTCGAGTTTGATTAACCTTCTTTACGTGTCAATATTAACATGTCCAAATTTAGCATGTCACACATTAGAATTTTAAGCAAGTAAGCGGAAGAGTTATCCAACTCATTGATATTAGGCTCATTAGCCAATATATGGAATTTAAACATTCCACCATCCGCATAGACCTTGCCTACAAACATACTTTTTTAGGTTAGTACAAACTTATTGGAATCAAACACCAAATAAAATCCATGTTTGTTCAGAAACCATCCAAACACTAAGTTCTTCATAATCTATGGAACATACACCACATCATTAAGTGTTAGCTCTTTTCTATGTGATACAATTTCTGGAATGTTTTAAACACCAAAGTTAAGTGGTTAGAATCACAATTTCAAGAATAAATTTTTGTCTCAACTTGGACAACCTTATAATTCTGGAGTCACTCCCTCTTTGAGCACACATGGCGTGTAACACCGATATCAATCCATCACTCAGTGGAGTTAGCATCCATAAAGTTTACTTCGGAAATCATTCCACTTTGGATGGTGACATTTCTGAAATCATTTATATACTAAATATAAATGTTTAAAATTCTAATTTCCAGAAAATATGTTTGCCTCTTACTTGGACAAAACTCAACATAATTAAAATCTATATTTGAACAATTATGAAACTTGATTTCTGATGCAAGAATTCTACAATTTGATTTCTCATGCAGAAAACTGATGCATAAATTATGATATCAGAAAATCTGATGTTTTCTTTCAACAAAACTATTCAAAATGTGATGTTTTTAAGTAAAACCAAGCTATTTTCTGATTTCCAAAGTTGTTTTACATAAAATTGAAGTCGTTTTTGACTAAACAAAGCCTTTTTGTTTTTTCACAAAACAATGTAGTCTGTTCAAGACTGCTTTATCCCCCACTTAAACCTGTCAAAAATGCAATCTAATTTCAAAATCCAGTAGCCCTATCTCTGAGCTTTCCAGGGACTACTTGCACAAGCGCACACGATTTTTCTATAATTTATTATGAATTTTACAAAACTGTGTATCATAGCTGTTAAAATCTAACCAATTAGTGAAAATCGTATTTTTCACCCTAGTTAGAGTTGTTTACAGCTTTTGGCCAAAATTAATAAAACGAAGTAGACTCATATACCAAACTTTGAGAATTGGTTTCAACTAAAAATGAGCATCCATTATTAAGTTATGAATTTTCAAATATTTGGACAGATTAGAGCATTTCACAGCAACACGTAAATTGTGTTTTTGAGTTAAGCTAGCTTCTTAACCGATTAGGTACTTAATAGAATCAGTACCGAAGCTGGAAAATTTGATACTTAAAAACAAATACATGTCTTAATGACTTAATGACCAAAGATGCTTCAAAAACAGAAAAAAAACTCCATTTTTTTCTTATGAAAATCATACAATATCAAAATAATGCAAGTAAATTGTTTCCGATTTCTAGTTCGTTTCGTACAAACGAATTTGTTTTAAGATTGTAGGAATAATATCCCGGTAATGTACGAAAACAAAAAAAAATAGAAAAAACTGAGGCATGTGTTTAACACATTGTCCTTAAAACAAATTCGTCCGCTACCGAGTGTTTGTTTCCCAGGATACAACAATTTGAAGTGGTTCTTCTAGACCACACGAACCATCAATAGGCATGGATTATATCTTCAATATAGCTAGAAAAAAGAAGAAGATGAAGAGGGGAAGAAGAAAGATTTCTTGCATTCTTTTTGGTTATACTCAAATGGTTGTAGAGTAGTGGTATTTATATTACACATTTTATAGCCTCTCATTTAAACACCTCTATTAATCACAAGATTAATGTGTGTTTAATATGTAATTAAATTGTAATATTAATTACAATTTCAGTTACAAAAGAAATAAATATTTGCAAGAAAGGTCCCTGAACTTTTCTTTTCTTTCACCCACTATTAGACTCTTTTATTTACTTCTTCCAACACCCTTATTTTAGGATTAATTTTTCATTCATATTAAATCCATTTTGGACGTGTTCAAAGACGGGGAAAACCCATTTTTATAAATTGGTTAACACCAATTTTCCAACATAAACAAAAAAATAAAAATTTAAAAATAACATTAACCAAAACTCAACTAGGAAAATCATAACATTAACCAAAACTCAGCAAACTAGAATCATGACATTTCAACAGTCAACACAAGAATGAGCAAACTATAATCTATAATCTATGACATTTTAGCATAACAAGAATTTCAATTGATGAAATTAATCTATAATCTATGACATTTCAGCAAATTAGACTCATGAATCAGAAAACACAAATCAGAAATCATATATGAATCAAATCAGAAATTAGAAAATCTATATGAAACAACATCAGAAACTAGCATAACAACATCATATGAGAAAGAAAGAAAATCAACATATAAATCAAATTAGAAACTGATATCAGCAAGCATCACAACACCATAAAACAAGAAAATCAATATATCCTCATAAAATCGAAGGAGGGGGGTGAGGAATTTCAATTTAAGCAAATTAGAAAACAAAAACATTGCAAAACAGGAAAATCGAAGGAGGGCTAAGGAATATCTATTCCAGTTACAACACAAAAATCGATTAAAGAAAAAACGATTTCAGAATGTGAGAAGAAAAGAACCTGTCGAAAAAGGGTTTGAGCAAGGCGCCAACGAAGGAGGGGTTGAGGCAGGCGACGACGTTGTGAGGATGTGAGGCTGCGACGATCTGTTACCGGAGAAGGAAAATGATTCGATGGAGGAAGGAAGAAAGTGAGCGACAATTTTTTTTTGAGTGTAACCCGTTCTCTTTTTTAGTTTGTAGGCTAGAAGTGGTTTGAAGAGGCAAGTCAAATGTTGTGTGGTGCAGAACACGCGCATATGTTTTTTAGTCTGAAGCCTTTTAAAAAACAAACAACTACAAGATGACAAATGCTGCGGGGCGCAGCAAAAAGTGGTCAGAAGAGGTTTTTTTACAAAAAAACAAACAACACGTTAGTGTGACCGAAATTAATTCGAGACATGTTAATTTTTTTTATATTGTAAGTTAAAGAAGTACGAGATGCACACTCATATAAGTTCATTTGAGCATGCACTCCGTCAGTAATATTGTAACAAGGCCCATAGAACAGCCCTTGGCGGTGCCCATTGGCCGGCCAACGTTCAGAGTTAATATGAGCCGCTCTTGTCGGCTATGGTCAACTCCACTCGAAACTGTGTACTTGTTTTAAAGACTAAATTTGTTTTTACTAGCAACAACAATGTCTTTTAACAACAAATATGTTTCTTCATGCCAAAAACTAACCCAAAATTAATTGTACATATATATTTACAGGTTTTTTGGTTTTTATAGAAGACCAATTTTCTCTTACATTTTGTACAATTTTTTTTATCTCATAGAACATACAAGAATACATGTTAACAATTTTTCCTAAAATTCTCAAGAGAAGTCTCTTGATTCATCTCAAATCTAAGTTCATGTAACTTCTTATACGTTCTATAGATTTTTAAACATATAAATACACAATTCTTAAAAATCTAAATATAACTCTTTGGAATAATGATTAAAATGGTAGATCAAGTCAAAAGAATTAAAACAACTCCGACCGACCTTTATTTTATATAGAAACACCGCTATCTATTCCAACCGACCATTAAACGCAACATCATTTTTATGTTATAAAAAACAGTCGATGACATTATCTATATAAAAACCTCTTTTCATAAAAATAATATTATTTTAATTAGTTTTTACTTTTATAATTATTATATTTATTATATTAATATTTATTAAAATATATTTTTAGTATTTGTTTAGAAATAAATTGATTTTAATATAATTTTTAGTGTTAAGCCGTTAAGGTTGACATTTGGTCTAAAATAAATACATATATGATAAAAGAGTGAATTAAGGTAAAAAGAGAGGTCAATATTGTCATTTCGAAAAGAGGACACGTCCATTTTAGTAACTTTCCCAGTGCACACCTCCACCTTTTTAAAACACTCGCCTTTCTCGGCCCATTTCTTCTTCTTCTTCTTCTTCTCTCTCTCTCTCTCCTAATTTTCAGACTTCACACTTCCCCCTTCTTCCCCATACTTCTGCTTCACACGAAGTGTGTGAGTGAGTGCGTGTTTTATGAACAATTAATGGTCTGTGTCGAACGAATGACAGCATCATCTTGCTTAGACTCCTCCTCCAACATCACCACAGGAGACGAACTTAAAACTGTAGTGCAATTGTTTCAAAACAACACCAGAAATGATGGCGATGGTGATGATTTAAATCGCAACATAGAAGAAGAAGAAGAAGGTTTCTCAAAGATGGTGATCAGAGAGTGTAGAATATGTCAAGAAGAAGACGGAGAGCACGAACTGGAATCTCCTTGTGCCTGTAATGGCACCCTCAAGGTTTGTTTCTGTTTCTCATTCTTACTCTTATTCTTATTCTTATTCTTCCCTTAGTTTAATCTAACTTTTTCCAAAATTAGGGATTTGAACTCTGATCTTATGTTTTGCAAATTGCAAAAGTTGGAAGTAGTTTCATGGGTCCCACAATGGGTTATGGGTCCATGTTTGATTCTAATATCTTATCTTGTTAAAGCTTTATGATGCTAAGTGGTTCTGTTGTGTACTTGGACAGTAGAGCTAATTTAATGAGGGCACAGCTGATAGCTCCTTCTCTATGTTATATCTACTTGATAGGGGCCCTCTTGTTTCCATATATCTAATTGGATTATGGATTTTGGATTTTGGATTATGGATTATGGGTTATGGATTATGGATATGATATGGTTATCCTTTTTTACTTGTTTGATTGTATAGTTTAAAGTTTAAACACAAACTTAACTTAAATCTAAATAAAAGTATCCACTTTAACCACAATAATCAAAGTGGAATTCTTGTATACAAACATTGTAACATCTTTATGCCTAAAGTATTCTATTTTAGTATTGGTGAATTGACTAAAACAACAGAAATGGTTGTCTTTTCTTGCGTTGATGGCAAAAGAAAAGGTGGGTGTCAATGTACCCCAACCAAATACACTTTAAGTATTCCAATCTTTTCTATTTCTTCTTGTGTAAAAAAAGTGTGTTAAACTTTTGGAAAGTGGGGGGTTTTTATTGGGGTGAGTTGAGAGATTAGTCTATGTGATTGTAATAGTTTGTTATATATTGGGTTTTTTTTCTCGTGGTTTGTCTTCGGTTTTGGAGTTTCCACGTATATTCTTGTGTTCAAAATTTTCTGTCAGTATTAATTGGGCGGATTGTTGGGGATCTTTGAGAACATTTTCCCAAACAGATTTGACATACGAGTTTTTATTGTAATTTTTTATATAGTTTGCTCATAGGAAATGTATTCAGAAATGGTGCAACAAGAAAGGGGATATAACCTGTGAGATATGCAATCAGGTTTTATTCTTTTTAACTTTTTTCACTCCCATTTATAAAATTCGTTAAAACTGTAATATATTTATAAGTTATGACTTATGATTCAATTTATAGGTTTATTCACCAAATTATGCTCTTCCACCTGCAAGAATTAATCCCGATGTTATGACTATTGATATCAGGTTATATGCTTTTTCTTTTCTATTTTCTTCCCAAAACATCACGTTTTATATTCTTTTTTCCAATATAAAGTTAAATTTATATGTTTAAAACTTTTCTTTCAGGCATGCATGGGGCCCACAAATTGACCTAAGGGATACTCACTTTCTAGCTTTTGCTTCTGAGCACCAGTTTCTTGAACAAGATTACGAAGAGTATGATGTATCAAGTAATACAAGCATTGCTTACCTCCGTTTTATGGCTCTCATTGTAAGTAATAAAAAAGTGTCAAAAGTTCAAAACTCAAAATAATAAAATTGTATAAAAGTTTATATATCAAATATTTGTATAATTGTTTACTTATTTATTACACATGCAGTTGATGTTAATATTACTCGTACGCCAAGCTTTGTTAATCACAAGAGACCTGGGAATGGTGCCAGAATCATCCAAAATCTTTAAAGTAAGTTTTTATATTATTTTTTATTTGGAATTAAATAATAAATAGTGCTAAATTTGATCTATAACATATAGTTTGACTTTTTTGGTTGACTATTTGTGAATGTAGTTTCAGGTTTCTGTTCTTCAGCTGGCGGGGTTTCTTCTTCCATGTTATGTGGTTAGCCGTTCATGGTTGATGATTTTAAGGCAAAGAAGAAGGCAGGTTAGTCAATTCATGTACTCTTTTTATTTATTTATATTACAAAAAGTTACCAAAATTGGGAAAATATAATATCACAAAATAACCACATTTTCACAAACTAACACCCAATTTCGCAAATTGATTTCGGGAAATACCTTTTTTCACTTTTAGTGGTCCCCATTAAAAACTTCTGAAAAAATCGTGATGATTTTTGTAGTGGGGACCACTGATTAAGCAATTTCATGAAAAAAAAAGTATTTTCCGAAATCAATTTGTGAAATAGGTCCCATACCTAACAAGAGGGTAAAAAGGTAAAATCAATTTCGGAAAAAAAAGTATTTTCCGAAATCAATTTTTGATTAAGTCAAAAAAAAAAATCTAAATTAGGTCCCATACCTAACAAGAGGGTAAAAAGGTAAAATACCTCTTGGAAAAGATCTCTTATAATGTGTCACTATCCTAATTCCTAGCCAAAACAAGAAGTGGGGTTAGATGCAATTAAGAGCGTCACCCATGTTTGTATTTACATTTCTTTACCCTAACAATACAAGTATTTATAATTGGTCCCTTTCTTTCCCAGATATAATGAATGATGATGAGCAAAGCCTTTTTGTATATCATCCTACTCCAATGGCAATGGCCATGAACTCGATTGCAGTCTAAAATACTTGCAACAGTTCTTGAAGCATTTAAATGCCACTTGTTCAAGAATCAAAGGGCAAGACAAGTTCAAATGCAAAAAAAAAAAAGTTTTCCTCTTTAGGAAATCTTGTTTTAAGTTTTAATTTTTAAATGCTTTAATTGATGGCCATATTATGTAAATTGTGTATATTGTTGAGTTCATTGGTCGATCTTGCATTTTCAGCTTCTTCTATGCGTGTAATTTCGACCAATTCATCTAAAAATGGGTTGATTTGGGTTATATTTTATTTTAAATTGGTTAAGGGGTGTAGGAGATTGCTTATGTAATGTACTTTCAGCTTCTTATTATGGTTTGGTATTGTTAATAAGCTAATTTAAATGTTTGGGTAAGCTGTTTTGTATCATTTTAATTTGCTAGCTTATTACGTTCTTTTAACAAGCGTTTTTACAGAAAAACGTAAAAAGTTTATCTAGATATGAAACAAGTTAAATAAGTTATAGTATAGTTTTTAAATTTTTGGTTAATATATTAATATTTTTGTGAAATGAAAATAAACGAGAATCAACCTGGCTTGATTTTTTTTTTTTTTTTTTAATTATGTGAACTAAAATTTTACTTATAAATCGATATGTTTACCCCAATCGCTTAGGGTCCAAATTTGATCAGTGAGTCTCGTGAGTTTTGTCTTTAGTCAGGACGACAGAGATATTTGATTTCATGTACTATTCACTGTCTTGGATTTTAGAAACAAGACTACACATATAGTCTCTTTATGATCATGAGAATTGCAATAATTTTGATTTGGAAAAATCTGAAATAAATTTAGCTTTAGCAACGCAATTATATTGTTTTTTTTAAGCAGAGTACTATAAGATATGTGACCTAAAAAGTCGTTCTGAAAAAAATGAGTCATAAGATTCAAATATGACCTATGAGCATAATTGTGTTACACTTGAAAGTTTGTGGGCTTAAAAGGTCATAAATATCTGAAAGACTCTTAACAGCAAGACTTCAAATTTGATGTAATTGGTCTGTAACATTGGGCCTTTAAGAGTGAAAGAGTATAGAGTGAGTGGAATGAGTCGTTTAAGTGTAGCATGTTTCGAACATAGAAGATTTAGGGGTTGTTTTTTTTTTTTTTTTTTTTTTTTTTTTTTTTTTCTCTATATAATATATCTTCAAACCATTTTCAGTTGCGCCGTGCAACACATGCACAACACTTTCCATCACGCAGATGTTTGTTGTTTAAAAGTCTTCTGAATAAAAAAGCTCTGCGCGTCTTTTGCGCCATACAACGTTGACCTTACCTCTTCCAAACACTTCTAAACCTAAAACCTAAAAAAATGGTATTACTCAAATGTTGTTAAAATCGATTTTATTTTGCTGAAATCGATTTTATAGCCCTCGTGAATCATTGATTTTACATATCTGGAAATCGATTTTAGTTATATTGATTTCTGAAATCACTTTTTCTTTTTTGATTTGCACTTGCTGAATCCGATTTCTGATTTGATGAATGTCAAGGAAAAGTATGTTGATTTCTGAAATCAAATTTTCTTTTCTGATTTGCTGAAATATAGACTTGCTGAATTCGATTTTCGATTTGATGAATGTCAAGGAAAAGTCTGATTTTTGTTACGTTGATTTGCTTGCAGTTGATGTTGTTGTTATGCTGATTTTTTAAACGGTTGATGACATGCTCATATTTTTGTGTTGAAATAGTATTATTGTTTAATATTTTTGTGCTGAAATAGTATTATTGTTTAATATTTTTGTGCTGAAATGGTATTATTATTTAATTATTGCTGAAATTGTTTATTTTTTTTGATTCTTGTGTGCTGAAATGGTTTAGTCTTTGTTGAAAGGTTGCTGAAATGGTGTCCTAATTGCTTATATTTGTGTTGATTGTTGGTCAAATTTTAAAGGGAAAATGACATAAATGTCCTACAAACTTTCTAGGGTTGGTCATTTTAGTCCCTAAACTATTTTTGTGGCTTTATGAGGGAACAAAGTCGTTTTTGTCGGGTCGATTACATCCTTTTGGCCAAAGTGAAGGGGTCATCTGATTATCCCTTTGACAAATTGATATTTGTTGACCAATATTCATACATTGACTTTGAATTTTCCCATAACCTTGGACCCACATCTTTCTCTCTCTCTTTCTCTCCCAAATTCTTCCGTCGCCATCTAGATCATCACTTCCGTTCTACATCTGGGTTTTAAGAATCGGATGTGGCTATTAGTTTTAATCCACAAACATGTAAAAAAGTGAAAGAATATTCGGTGTTGCAAGGAGGATCTCACAACTATCCATCGTCAGGCCAACTATTCACTCGTTGAGGCTCACCGCCGATAACCAACCGGTCACTGTCGAAGTGGTGGTTTGTAGTGGTAATAAAGTAGATGCTTTCCAAATTGTGGACCGTCCATTTACCGGTTCCTTCCATCCATGTTTTATCTAAAATCGTGTCTACCAATCACCTTCATCATGTTCACCTTTCACCTTGAAAATATCAATTGTGATTTCAATCGAGAAGCTTTCTAATTTGCCTCTGTTCCATTCGTCAAAGGTTTCAGCTAATTTTGTGTTGGTTGACCCACCAACATTTTTCAGAACATCATAAGCTTCAGAAATCAATTACATATCACCATATTTGATTACATTATGCACTATTTGAATGAAATTACCAGACCTACCTTCTCCAATTGAGAGTGAATTTGGTTTATTTCTCAATTCGTTTTGTATTTTTCTGCAATAGAAATTTTTGCGTTTCTGATGAAATTTCTCAAAGCTTGCATTTTTCTCCCTGTTTCTTACATTCATGTTATCATTTTTACCCTTCCATTCTCGGTTACCACCTGAAGAGGCTTCCTGAACATAATGTTGGATCATAACCATAGTTTTAGCAAAGTTTCCAATGCCCAGGCTTGACACGTAATGTCACACCCCCAAACCGGAACGGCGGAAACGTTCGGGGGCGGAGGACGTCATGTACAGTATCACAACAATTGAATAATAGTAATCAAAGCAACAACCATTACATTGATAAAGTATAGTTTTTACATCTGTTCATAACATTGTTTGTATGACAACAAAGTGTATTGCAAAAACTAATACGTGACTGCATAATGCTCCGTCTTCTCAAAACCTGTAAGTGAAACTGTCTACTTGTTCCCTGAGAATACAAGTGATTTTGAAAGTGTATCAACATTTAAGTTGGTGAGTTCATAAGCATGTTTGTGTATGAATTCTGTCATTTGTTTCTTGAAAAATGTACATGTTTTCTACCAGAAAATCCTATATTTTCTGTTTTAAATGATTTGTAGTCTTAGTACCATAAGACCAAAATGTAAGAGTATTGTTGTTCTCTGAAATAGTATATCGTTGTTTTATTATTAAATAAAACCATATGAAAATGAGTGTTTCTCTGAAATGTAAGTTTCTCTGTACTGAAAATAGTATACTGTAAGTGTATTTGTATGAAAACTCTGTAAATGTATATGCCTGGTTCCACCAGCTGTAAAGTAAAATATTGTACTGTAGTTCTATTATTTAATAAAACTACTTGAAGTTGTTTTTCTATTCGTATACTAATCGTTTTGTTCAATACCAAATTGTGAGTTATTATAACCATGCTTGATGACCGAAGATGGCCTGAAACGACGTTCTTCAGGCGTCGGAAATGGTACGACAATTGTCACCCAGGCATGCCGGCCTAACTGTAACTAACAGTTTAGGTGCGAGATTGTCAGTCCCGTATAGATCTATACACAAGTGTCATGCTCTCCCTCCAGGAGACTCTGGTTATAATTCCAGGGCTTTTGTTGGTACTAAGATGAGTACTTGAAGTGTGTCTCACAAAGCTGTATCGACGGTTATGCGTAGAATAATGAAAAGTTACTTTGGAATGAGTAAACTGTATGTATGACCCATAAACTATACCTATTATAGTTTATATGCTTGTTTCTGTATTGTAACTTGAACTTGGAAAAATAGTACGTGTGTTCCATAAACTATACCTATTATAGTTTAGATGTTTGTTTTCGTATTGTATCCTGAACTTAGTAAAAATAGTGTAATTGTTCCATAAACTATACCTATTATAGTTTATTATGTATGTTCTTGCATTGTATCTTGAGTTAGTAGAATAGTATGTAGGTTCCATAAACTATACATATTATAGTTTATAAGTGTGTTCTGTATATAATGAAAATACCCATTTGCTCGGCATGCTACAAAAGGGTTGAAGTTTTATACTCATATATATATATATATATATATATATATATATATATATATGGAATCCCAGGTATATTAATTATGTGTTTATTTTGAGATTAATTGAGTGACTCGACAAGTTGTGAGTCTAACTCGTCGAGTAGGGCCGAGTTGACCACGTGGGATTAGTGGTCTACTCGACGAGTCCGAGAGTCGACTCCCCGAGTAGACGCTGAGTAGTGAAACCCTAAATTCCCGAGTTTGAAACCTATTTAAGGACACTTATAGCCTCAATTGCGGCTCACTAACCATTCCACCCTGGGAGAAACCCTAAACGGCCATAGAGCTTAAAGAGAGAGAGAGTTTGAGCTTGCATTTGAGTGTTTGGTGCATTACTTTTGACGTGAAGGGGAGGATTCAAGCAAGGAACGTGAAGGAGGCCAGTAGATCTGAGGATATCTTGTCCAGAAGCTTCTGAGAAAGGTAAAAAGTGCTCACCTTTCTCCTTATGGTGACTAGATCCCATGTTTGTGGTAGTTAGGGCTTTTTACCACCTATTGTTGGGACTTTGAATGCATAAGGTCCCTTTTGAGGTCTAGACTTCAGATCTGGACCTTGTGAGGTCCAGAGAGTCCCAAAGTTACAAGCTTTACCCAGCCATACAAGAGTTATAGTGTGAAAGCACCTTGTTGGAATTGTTTTGGGCATTTAGAGCAACATGTGCCATGCATGGACATAAAGATCAGAGATTTGCGTGAATTTTGGACCCTAGGAGGCTAGATCTGGGGTTTGGAATGATAGATCTGACCTTGGACGTCTGAGTGGGAAATCAGATCAAAAGAATTCGCCGAGTCCATGGGCTGACTCGACGAGTCGATGAGGGTTTGTCCCGACGAGCTTGATCATGTGATAACTCGACGAGTTGGGGGTCAACTCGACGAACTGAGCTGGATCTTCACGAGACTTCTGAGGATGTGAGTGGACTCGACGAGTTGCATAAGTACACTCGACGAGTCGGGTCAAACAAGAACTGTTGACTTGAATTCAACTTCTGTTGACTTTAAGGTTGAGTCAATCATGAGTAATGGAGATCATGGAGGGGTAAAATGATCTTTTACCCACTTCCCG